GCATTAGAGATAATTTGAGAGTGTTATATACTAGAGGTTAGGTGTAAAGAATTTTTTGAGTAAGAATATTTTTAAATTATTATATTTTTTTAATAGTAGATTTATTTATTTATTTATTATAAATATAAATATAAATATATCGAAAAATATACAATTTAAATTATATTAAATTATTATTTTAAATTCTTTACCACTATAATACGTGTGGAATTGTGATACTCAAAATTTTCAACATTTTTGTACTTTAAAAGAGAAAAAGCTAATAGATAAGCAATTCTTTCTCTTAGTTAACTACGTTTCTTATTTCATTCACACATTTATAAAATTGCAACGTGGAGAAGACGGATGATTGCAACTGCAGAGCAGACGAGAATCAAGGCATAGAAACCCTGCTAGATGTCTAGAGTTTGACCCAAGTAACTTGGTCACATGTCTTGTTGTTAAGTTTCTTCTCATTGTACAATTCAAGACTGATATAAGAGAAAAAAGACGTATTTGTTTTCTTCTAATATATATAATTTGTGTCTTTTAATACATTCAATTTGTCCGTGAAAGGGTTAATTTGTTTCTTTTTGTAGCTGTAACTATCTGGGATGAAACACCGTTTTGTTTTTCTTACTAATACCTGGTATTGTATCGTGAAATATGGATTAAATTTGAATGTAGCTATGAGGATTACTGGGAGGACTTAGCAATGGTTTGAGTACTACTCAATATTCTGTGAGTGTGAAATGGAGATAAGAATATGTTTGATACCATTTGACAAATAAGCTTTCATAGCTCAGTTGGTTAGAGCACCCGTTTAGTAAGCGGGAGGTCTTGAGTTCGACTCTCAATGAAAGCATTCTGGTTTTTGTCTGTTTGTTCCTTCTCTATTTTTCTTCCTTTTTGCAATTTTTTCTTTCTTAAAAATTAGGCATTCGTTTAGGTTTAGAGGTTTGGAGTTAGGACCATTTGATACCTTTATAATTCTGGTTTGGTTTGCTGCTTTTGGGCCATATTCTTTTGCTGGTGAAAAAAAAATAAAAAACACTAGTTAGATGTTAAATGTGAGCACTGCACATACATTACATTAAAAAAAAAAAAAAAATGCTAATATTATTTAATAATTAATTTTTTTATTTTTTAAAATATGTAATATTGTATATATTTATTTGTTTAATAACACGTTATATTAATTTAATATTATATTATGATTGTAAATTTATAATTTTTATTTTTTTA